ATATATATATATATATATATATATGCAGGGAAGTCAATTTCGGTGTCTCTGGTCAAACTCAGCCCGGATATTTTAAAAGACGATTGGGCACTATGTGATGTACGGTACGGTACGGTGGTTCGGTCAAGGTGGGCATCTTTTTCCAAGGATTTATACAATCGATTGATTTCAGGAATACACCACTCACATTTCGAGATGGCGAACTCAGATGACAGTGCACTTGACTTCTGTACAATTTTGGGGTTTTGCGGGATGGGTGTTTTTTTCATAGTCATATACATTTCCTCGGTGGGATCCCTATAACGGTTACCCTCGACAATCGAAACGAAGGGTCGTATCATCCCATTCCATTACACTATGTTTCACCTTTGAAATGTTTCCAAAAATGTCAGTTCAACCTACACAATATTGCTTTCTCATCATATCTTCCATTAGAGCGTTTCCGATTTGACCACCGCTCTTTTTCACGTGAACTAAACGCTTGAGGTAATAGATTCACAGGTTGTTCGGTCGATTTGCATAGAACTATCACAAGGTTTCTCGCAGGTACACCATGTATGTATACAAAAATGTGAATGGTATATATTTGTGTTTGAGTTATTTTGGACGGTGCACAGTATACGGGAGTCGCATTACTTTTGAGTTTCGTGCTCAGCAACCGTAGCTCATCTAAACGAAACTCAAACACTGCTATAGTTGCAAAGATTTGCTTCCATCAAGGGTAGATTAAGTCAAGAACAACATAGACTTTTAACAATCTTATCCTATCGTATTGGCTCATCTGGCTTCAAAGATTTCTAGGACGAGTGATTTAGTTTAAGTGTAAATTTTGCTTACAATGTGAAGTTTGAAAGAAATCTGGTGTTGCTCAATAAAGATCACATAGTATAGCTGCATACTAGACGATTATCATACTAAGCGAAATGGCATGAGTAATATTGCTGTCAGTACTGCCGATCATCATCATCATCATCATCATCATCAAAGACAGCAACATTGTCACTGGTCTTCCCTGCCATACAACCATAAGGTTCGTCCAATATATATTATACATATATATATAATGATAATATAAGCCCTAGAGTTAAAAGGAGAGAAGAGCGGGTGAGGGAGGGGACCTAGTGCTGGCCTACATCAAGCATTATGAGGTGCCTACACCTCCAACCGCTCAATCAGTTAGTTTGGAAAGAAACTGACATCACAAATGTCATTGACGTCGATCAACTGTCTTGGAATGTCTGCAATCAAACACAGGAGGGGAGGCGTACAGCACCAGCACCACTCGACCCCTTCGTAATCCCTTTCACACCCTTCTACCAAGTCATACGTTATCCACCTTGCGGTTTGCGCCATTCTGAAGAAGGTGCAGAGAACAACACTTGTCTCAGTAGACTGTTTTGTCATGACCGAGCCACCTTAGTTGATGGTGCTGGATGCTTTCCGTGATTGAAGTACCAGCTTGACAACCAAATACCCGTTTTCTAATCACCTGGTTACTAAACATTTGACGCCATCCAAAACCAACAACGTTTCTGTCTCCTAACCTTTCATACACTTCGCTTGGTGATCCGGTGGTCCAACACGCTCCTAGGTGGCAACACAATCACGAGGGCCTCATTTGCCCAAAGCCACAATGGCGAAAATCCAACTCAACTAAGCTATGCATGTGTTCGCAGGTACCAAGCGGTTAACGTGGATTAAGACGATAGATAATGTTATGGGGTACGTCGGTATGATTCAGGCCAACAGGAGTTAAATCATCTTGCCATCAAAAGCATTATGAGACATTCGAGCGTCGCATCGGCGAGACGGTTCTCTGACCATCCCACGCGATGGGATCACCCATGTCTATGATTACTTTTCAAGCCGTTCATATTGTGAATTACAACTGCTCAGGCTGGTTGAGTTCACCGCATAGTACTAACCACCCTAACAATCGCCCAATTATTTGGCTTTTGGACCCCCCACAGCGACCTCCCTCCGACGCGACCAACATTTAGTCTTCCAAAATAAATTTTCAATGGTGTGCTACCAAAATTGCCTCAGAGGTTTAATCCCACTGTAATCTAACACGAACTATTTTACGTGTTATTCCCCGCCTGAATGACAACGGTAGGCCAGCGTATTCCGAAATGACCGACAAGAAAGTCGAGAATATGTGCGCACGCACAAAAACAGGATGATTCGAACGACAATGCGCATTAACATAACGAAGTACTCCCCGTTCAGAGAGATTTGTTGAATGATTTGTAAGAGGAGTGAAATGCCAGCGGCGTCATCGTCATCACCGGCAGCGTAACACTAGAAAATACAGGCTGCCATACTACCATGAGAAACAGAGCACTAGTGAAGGGTAGGGACTTAGTGCGAACAGTCTCCATAGACGAGGATCAAGATGAAGTTGTCTGCATCCGGGAACAGCAACTGCATAGGCGTATCTGAGCCTCGTAATAAAGACGCCGTAGTTGAGGTGATCCAACATGAATTGCATGCCTCACCCAACATGAGCCCAGCATACAACAGGTAAATTTCAGGTGGGCAATCCGTCTATCGAAGGTACATTGCCCATCAAGGCGACCACAGACGTGGCACGTCCTGTAAGACTTCATCACGTTCCAGGCGAATCGCGTAGACTCAAACGAGGAAAGCGCGACGATCCCACAGTAACCGGTTTGACAGTAGCTACCTTCATTCCACATTACCAGGGTATATTCTCATCACCGAGAGTTTAGAGTGGAAAGCACTACCTTATCGATAAGGCATGGTTGGGTGTGCATTACATGAGTTCTAACGAATTCACCCGACGAGCTATATTTGTTCCTCTGGTGCTTCTGGTTCGTCGCAAAGTACTCGCTTATGCACCACTTCATTGTGAACAAGCCGTGGCCATTTGTCAATCAGTCAAAGATATTTGAAAAGCAGATGTTTTTGTTTGATTACTCAAAAAAATCATTGAATTCATCTCACATGGTTTCGCCTGGACATTAGTACGTGTACGCAACCCAGACCTCTCTGAACAACGGACACCACTTAAGGACATTTCAGTTCTTCCCTATAGGTGTCCTTTCTTGAGGTTTCACTGTATTTTTCGGCAGCTGAGTCCGAACGTTCTAATAATGGATTGTTAAGACCAAAACAAACCGGTCCTCAAAACTACACGTATTCAGCCAACGGTGAGGCAGCGATCTGTCATCCTGCTCGGAGTATAGGGTGATTAACAATACTCAAGAATCACGCGATTCAACACCATTTCAAGCCAAGGTCTGCACGTATTGACATGCCGTATGAATGGCGCCCGCCAGGAAACCGTTCATCTGTAACACCCTTTGGGTGCCAAACCCCCATCCCACTAGAAGGAAGCACGAAGGCTGGGATACTGCCAGATTGCCCAAGCCCAGACAGAGGTCGGGTTCGAACCACGGATCTTCCGGTCAGTGAATTCGCGCTCTAACCACAGCTATTTCACCCGTCAGGAAAGGTCTATTCTAAATATAACCCCATCGCTTTCTATCAGGACAACCACCCTAATCCAGTCGATTTTTCCTGTCTGAAACGGCACTGTCTCTTGGAGTTTATGCCAACCAAGTATAATATTTACTTGTCAAAATCTGTGCTACGCTACCACTTGGACGTGTTAGCAAGTCTGTGAAGGTATTGTGCGCCTTTAAAACAGGTGATAATGTCTTATCGAACCAAACAAGTGTGGGCGAACCCAAAGGATCCCAGGGAAGGGTTTCATGTATAGCAGCGAAGCATCGGTCTCAAACACTGATGCCATGCTGTCGAATTTCTTCGTGGAGGAAAGTAAGGAAACATACCTAGCCGTCACTCCCCCTTACCAACCGTATTCTTTTAATCGTAAGGGTTTTATTGCCCTTGGAAAAGATGATCCCAGAATGAACGCTATTTCAACACGGTTTCTACCCGATTGCCGTACTCCAGGTAAGTGGCTATCACGAAACCCTACCACCAAGTGGTTCAATCTAGACGTCAGCGGAGAACTCGTCTGACTGTGCGTGCGGTTAAAACATACTAATCCATGGGTAAACCGCACAGAAAATGGTCGCGGGAAACAAACTATGGTTAGGTTAAATCTAGCTGACTTCTATGCAGATGAAGTTGTCCATTTACGAAAAAAAAACAGAATTCAGCAGATTGACGCCTCCTCCCAAACAAGGGTTGGGTTGTCTGACTGACTGCTCTGAGGGGTAGGAACCCCGGAATACTTTTGGCAGTGTGCAAATGGCCTCTACGTTTTCCCTGTTTGTTTGCCGCTCCACTATGGGGCCTTGTTGTTACGTGGCGACAGAGAAGGCCTCAACGCCGGCGCCATCATTTGCGAATATGATACTAACTAAATCAAACCCGGAGCCACTCTTCCTATGGAGTGTGTAGCGGTTGCCCATCTGGTTAGTGCATCCTCGTCTGTCTCACAATCACGCGTCAAAATCGTGACATGAATACGACAATATGTCACCTCCCGTGCCATGACCTTTTGAACGACACCAGGTGATTTCACGTTGTTTTCAAGTCCCACTCATTGCAATGGCCTATATAAAGGATAGAACACAATCGAGCACACGCACGCATCACACTCGCATTGCTCGCGCGTCGGAACACAGACCGGCTCGACACAACAACAACCGCGGACAACTAGGAACTTGTAGAAGTGAATCTGCCAAAAGAAACACGATTGCCTGCGTCCAAACCAACTCGGTGGAACTATTGTAACTTCCGCTCAGAACGATAAGTCCCTCATTTGTACATTCCATTTTTGATATTGTATCCGACTCAATTAAGGTGTTGTAACCTAAGACTATTATAACAAATTTTATTAGTGTCGCTTTCTAGCCTTCTGATTTATCTAGTGGCTTTTGTTGTTAACAAGAGAGAACACTAATAAGTGGAACAAAAGTAAAAAATATCAGTTTTATTCCGTAAAACAGGCAAACACGGGGTGAGGTGGGGGAACGGATCCTGAAGGTGCTTGTACGCGTACAATCTGCAAACAGCTAAAATGTTCTAATATCGTGAGAAACTACAGGTGTGACCCTGCACTACTGACCAGCACCAATAGTAGTTCCACAAATATAGGTACCTATGAGTGCAGCAGTCATTACTATGGGTAAATGGAGCAAGGTAGATCGAAAGAGGCGCCTCGCCGCAGCTGCACTTCCTTCCTGAGAATCCGCTCGAGAAAACTGCCAGGCATAGTAGATCAGACCGATGTTGGGAGGAAGACAAGTCAAACCAAGAGCACAACCAGCCCACGGACCAAGACTGATGGCACTGCATCCGGCCCCGGCCAGGCAGACGAGGCTACAAGCGACCGCATAGCGCAGTGCAACTTGCTTGCACACCGGTGGCTCCAGGACTGAAGTCATCATGTAGCCAGCTTTGGAATATTCCCCACGTAAATTCCAGCTCAGAGCCATGAAGTGTGGGAACTGCCATACGTAGAGAAGACTGGCCAGAATCATTGAACCTGAAGAAAAGGAGTGAGCAATCTGTTGAGTGAAGGAATCGGGACAAACGCGCATGTTCCGGGTGGTTTGGTGAAACACGGGTGTATTAGCCACCATATTATGCTCACCAGGAGATACCAACTTCATGGTGTTCACGAACAGGACAAACGCGCATGTTCCGGGTGGTTTGCTGAAACACGGGTGTATTAGCCACCATATTATGCTCACCAGGAGATACCAACTTCAGAGGGGGCTAACCTATCCAGGGAGGTGCAACATTAGTTAGGTGCCTGTAGAAGCTCGTTTCCAAACACCCATGGACACAATCGCTAAAAAGCAAGGTGAATTAAGCCCCTTTGGGCGATGAATGTCTGCTAAAACGAGTATCCCGCAAGCAGAAGACAAATAAGGTCAAGCAGAAAACTTTTCCTAAGTTTCAGCGAAGGGCGGTTAGATCGGGAGAAGTTGGTACCTTACGAAACTTCACTGGTTCACGGAGACCTTCAGTCGAAAATGCGGCACACGTGAACACAGTTCTGTGTTACTTTAGCAATCGAAGAGCAAGTGCAATCAGCTCTCGCGCAAGCGTATACCTTAGTTCTTACCGCTGAAACTTTGTGTCCTGTGTAGCTTCAATACACCGGAGCCTAAATGAAAGCTACCGCCTTCAGCGTGCGTTCTCCTAAATGCTCATCACATGGTGGTGCTGTATAGGTAAGTACTCACGTTCTGAGACGTGGTTGACGGGGTCAGATGGCGTGAAGAATGAACAAGAAAGTAAAAAGTCTAGATGCATTAGAGGGTGAGACGATACATGTAAGTTAGCCAGCCGGAAACGAACGAACGAACAAAGCACCTGGTCTGAGTAATTCGCCTCAGAATCTCATCCAACTAGTTTATTGTTTATACTTACTGGCGAAGGTATCCAGGGTAATGATCGGTTGTAGATCAGATAGCTGCTGATCCGTTCACCAAGCATGGCACCTTGTTGCAGACGTTTCGTCGCCAATCGTGGAAACATCAGTGTGCAGTTGGATGTTGACTTCCTCCTTACCTGGTTGTGTTCATATAGATTATAAAATAGTTTATCTCTGAGTTGTCTCTCTATCGCAATTTTATTGGTCTGTTTACGACTGGTGCTGTGGCCCGGACGCGTACCCGATTGGCTCATTGATTCGGTAAAGGAACGAACCACCAAACCGAGCATTACGATGTTCCCATGACTGGTGAGAAACGGCTCCAAGCAAATTATCGAGCTCGGCGAACAGATCAGCAGCCAACTGAGTTACAGCTAGTTAACGCGCCTGAGCTATCAGTAGTTCGATATATTGCCAAGGTAATAATCCCTGTGACATACCAAGGTAATATCGCCGCGTGACTTAGAGAACTGCCCCAGGACACTTGACAGATCACATCATCATCATCATCATCGACAGCATGACATCAGTGTTCAACACCGATGCTTCACTGTCGTATTGACAGATCACACCGACTGTAGATCCCCGATCCGGGTGGAGTTCAATACAGATCACGCGAGATAAATCAGGGGTTATGAGACGTAGGCAACTTAGAATGATTGTGGTAGGCCAGCTCCGTCAACCTCAATGTTTTTTTCGCCTTATGTCTTTAAAGAAATAGTCATACAAATCTAACGGTTGTACGGCAGTTAAGCAATGGTACTAAAACTGAGGTGATGATTTGTTGACCCTTACGAAAAGTAGACTGGAGGTATAAAAGTTGGTACTATCACATTTCTTTTGATACACTCACTTTAATCCATGCGGCTTACCTAGGCACGTGACGACCTCAATCGACATTCCGCTGTTTGCACTACACCCATGTGTTTGCGAGAAACGGTAACTTGTCCCGAGTGGCATTTGGGTTATTTCTATGTGCTTTTGGATGTGTTGTACACTAAATGCATCCCTTGGTTGTTGATCAGGTGGCTGTTGATCTGTTCGCCGAGCTTGGCAATTGGCTTGCAAACGTTTCGTCACCATACGAGGAGACATCATCAGTGCGC